CCTATCCCAGCTGTCATCGGGCAGAAGGCAGGATACACCCTGGACAGGTCGCCAGTCCATCACAGGGCAGACAGACATACATACACATTCATTCACACCCAGAGGCAATGTAGCATGTCCAGTTGGCCTGACTGCATGTCTTTGGACTGTTGGAGGAAACCGGAGTACCCGGAGGAAACCCACACAGACACGGGGAGAACATGCAAATTCCACACAGAAAGGACCCTGGGCGCCGGCCAGGGAATCGAACCCAGGCCCTTCTTGCCATGAGGCGACAGCGCTACCCACTGCGCCACCATGCCCCCCGAGAATCAATAATTTCTGGATAAAATAACAACATCATGGATAAAATAACAAATATAAAATGCAGGCTCAAAAAGAAAGTCCGGCTCCATGTTTAGGTTTTGAACGCAAATCAACATTATACTGATGAAGACATGACGACCATAGGAGATTCATTTATCTCTTTGGCAGACAACACACTTGCAAACATCATCCACATTCATCTGCTCAGGGAAGTGGTCAGAAGCACAAGCGATGTTACGAAATGTCCCTTCACAACCTCTAAACTTACATAGTGAAAGGAAATGTGACAACTGAGTCACATTTAACAATTCATAGCTGATAACTGACAATTATATCAGTCAGTAAAGCATTATTAAATGAAAACTGTTGGAGTTGGAGTCAGTTATCTGAACTTTTTTTTGCTTCTTAAAATAAGGATGGGGATAAAATTTTCATATGAGTCAGACCCAACTCTATTCCTGTGTGATACCATGCTGTAGCCCCCTGCAAAACACTGAGGTCTGTATCTTCAGGAATGATTCAAGGCACTATAGACCACAGGCAACACACACACACACACACACACACACACACACACACACACAGATGCATTCACTCACACTGAAATTGCACACATGCACAAACACTCACCAGAGTATCAGAAAACCATATGGGCAAGCTGTGTACGGCTTCTTGCCCGCAAGTGTGCAGAGCCACACTATGAGTCAGCGGTAAGCTGGAAGCAGTTTCATACAGGCTCAGAGACACAGAAGCTCGTTTTACGCTGCACTGGGTGGAGAGTGACCAGCATCTTCCATTCGCTAAGCCTGCAGGCCTTTTTAATATGGGGAGAGATTGATGACCACTGGCCATGACTCCCACATCTGCTGAGGAATTATTACTACGGCTGTGCGATATGGACAAAATACCTGCTACATACTGCGGCTGCAATATGACCTGAAATATATTCAAAACACATTGCGAACTCTTGATGCAACATAATCAAAAACTGGCCTGTGTTCTTTTGTGCAGTCATTTGTTTATTTTGTGCAGACCTATTAATGAATGGGAGAGAATGAGAAGTCCACACACAATGCACACATAATCACATATACATCTACAGAGTATGTGCGCACACACCCCAGAACTCCTGGTCCAAGAATTAAAGGGCTTGTCCTGCAAACAGGCCTTGCTCCAGAGGAGGACAAATGGGGGGGTGGGGGGGAAATGGGGGATGTTACTCTTTCAACTTCCCGCTCTGTCAGTTTTGGACATAATGATTTTGAACACTCTCCTCTCCATCCATTACAAATAGCTACATTAGTTCTTTAAGAGATTTTTATTCTGCCTGGTGAGGTACTGTAGTATATTCGTATGTAATGCTTCATGCCCTCCTTGGATAAAATCCCTGGGTGTGCAGACTACTTGATTTGACAACTCTTTTCAGCTTGAGAAACTTAACCCCTTTCCTAAACAGTCTTTCCTGTGACTGTCCAGTTGTAACTTATCTTAGAACAATCTGCCACAGCGTTGTACATGGGAAATTTATACAGCATATACTCAAATGCTCATTTACTAAACTGAAGACAGCACAGTTAAAAAAGCTGGATTAACATTTCGCCAGACCACATTGTCTATTAATCCCACCAAAACTCTTTAGATTTAGTGTGGATTAGTCTCGCCACTCAAAACAACAGTCAACAGTACTGCCAACAGTAGCCAAGGGGGGTTATTGTGTTTTATCATCATTATGCGTTTGGGCCACTGCTGTTTCCCCAATTTCACTCAAATCACCTGAGTAGCTGCAAAGAATGTTCTACTCAAGTTACTCAGCACAATTTCATACCCCCTCCTGCACCCCCCATTTATTCTGCCCTGCCACTGTACAGAAGCATTGTAAAGTAATAGGGCACCCAATGCTTGACTAAATCAAAAAGATTTTAGAGGAATAATTCAGCCAAAAATGAAACTTTCTTCCTTACTCCAAATCATCAGCCAGGAGATGTTTGAAGTCCTACATTTGGTTCTTTAGTTTTGCGCTATGAGGCTAGCTAACAAGCTATGGAGGCCTATATTCAGTTTAGCACTGAGAATGCCTGAATCTCCACAAACTCGCCTCAAACCGCATTGAGCTGTTATGTAACACAGACTCACTTATGTGGTTTCTGACACTGTGCATCATACTTAGTTAACACGCTTAGGCACAACTCTATGATACAGTGGACTGGCCTGCTGTCAGCTTCCCCCCCCCTCACAACATCACACCCTCTCAGATCACACTGACTCCCCTACAAGGACACCAACGTCTCTGAACCGGCCCCGAGCACACAGCTATTTTAGCACTGTGTTTTTGAATTCCAAAAAAAGGAGAGAGTGATGAGAGAGATGGAGAGAAGGAGCAAAGGGTGGAAAAGTAACTGGCAGAGTTTTCAGGCCTTCACCAGATGTAGTATATTACCCTCAGCCTAAGGAATGCAAGTCACTTCCAGGCCTGCTTTAATAGTTTCCTTGATATGACACATGCAGTGGTATGAGGATTTCGGAGATGACGGAGGTTCCAGTGCAGGAGCCCAGCTCTGATCACCTGTCCAACCTAAACTCTCTCTGGCTGAAACACACAGCCGCAGACACTTACTTCTTCCAGATAACCACACAAACACTCTCCCTTCCAGCTGCGCCTGCTGTGCATGTGTGTGTATGTGTGTGAGAGTATGTTTTCTGTCTATCCAAGCATGCTTGAGTAGATGTGCCTGAGCATGCCATTGCCATGCGGCAGGTTCTTCTTATTGTTGACAAAAAACGATTATGGTAAGCACATAATGAGCTCCCAGTAAATTACCAAGCAGCTCCTCAGTCCCCCCAAGCATGCAGTTTTAACAATTACAATTTAACAGAAACATCTGGGGAACTACATAGTATATTCAAAACATTTCTGAAGCAAAGACCACTGTACCAGTAAAAGTACAGCTTGGCCATTAAGCAACCACTAAAATTCAGGTTTGAATCCCATCTACGCCAGGTGCTGTAGGGTGTCTAGCCGAGTGTTTCGACCCACTGCACTATTCCTTGACTTAACACACCTAATCCAGCTCATGAAGGGCTTAATAATGAGTTGGTACAGGTGTGCTGAGTCAAGGAATAGTTAGAACTAGGAGTTTCACCGGGAGCAGTACTGCAGCAGCAGGATGACAAGCTGGTCTAGTCTCATTAAGGAAGTCATGAGTTTCAGTCAGGCATCTGCATGTTGTCATGGCATAGTTCTGCATTCAGCACCACACTCTGAAAGTAATGCAGCACTTAGCAGTAGCCAAACAAATGAGATGGTAAGAGTTTAGATGGTAGAGTTTAGTGAATGTTATGGAGATACAGGATGGTCTGGTGCAGAGGTCTTCAGGACCTGAAAATGGATTCAAGGTCCAGATTTGAAGTTTATAATCACCAGTAAGTGACACAAGGTAGTCAATCAATCAGCTTAGTTAACTATCAGTGAAATCCAGCATCGCAAACTGGATGTAAGGTCTGGCTTTGAATACCTCTGGTCTAGAGCAGTGTTTCTCAACAACGGGGCCGAGGACCACAAGTGGGCCTCAAAGCACCCCTTGGTGGTCCTTGGAGCTCTATTGAGGGGGGGCAATGGCTCGCAGAGGGCCTGTGATGGCACTTTGTCATAAAAATCAGTGAAAAAATGATTGACTTAATAAAAAAAATACATAAAATGCTTTCAGTTAACAACATTAATACAAGTCCCACATTAACAGTGCACAAAAGCAGCTTCATCATTTTTGTACCTTTGCCTCCAGAAACACCTGACCTTTCAGTTGTCCACTCGCACTAATATTCTGCTGATATTTCATGTTCACTGATACACACCACGTATTGCAACAGTAGGCCCCCACATATCACTGTGTTGAAAATTTCCCAAAAATGAAATTTTAAGCAAAAATGTTGAGTTTTGTTTTCTTGTGGGCCTTAATGCTTTCTAGTGATAAACAGGTGGGCCTTGAGGTGGAAAAGGTTGAGAACCTCTGGTCTAGAGAATGCAGATGCCTATGTCAGCTCCCAAATCCCAATATACCTGAGCCAAGTCATTAAAGAGCAATGTAAAATTATAGAATAACATGGAAAAACATGATCTGGTATTCTTATTATGTGCTCTTTTGGTTGTTGATGAGTGCAGACAACAGCAATGTCTTTTCACCAGCTAATCCCCACAAAGGGTTTTGTGGTAAAGCAGATTTAAGGCAAACAACGTAATGATGTCGAGCACAAACTAAGGGACAAAGCTTAAAACCACCAATATATTTTCATGTGCTAACTTGGCTAATGCTGGGTAGGCACCAGTTTCATTCTTCTAGCTAATGACTGCAGCAAGCTGACTTATTTAAACAATGCTATAGTTAACTTAACCAATGTCACTGTAAGACTAGCTCATGTTAATGCTGTTTGGACAGGGTCTTTCCATGACTGACCTAGCTAGGATTATCATGATAAAAAACAGCCTTTAACCAAGAACCCTGGAGGAGAAGGGAAAACAGTCAAAAGGTTGTTTGGGTTTCTCTTCAAGAACAGTGAATTTCAGGTACAGGTGTACTGGGATCTTTAGAGCAACATATGCGGATGACCTGATGGGACTAGACTGACAAAGATTGGTGCGGAGGGACGGTCGGCTTTGGCGGATAGCACAGCATGAGCAAGTAGTGTGTCACTGTCTTTACCTTTAGGAGGAAAGTAGGACTTGCTTTCTGCCTTATGGGGCCAGTCCACCACCAAGTGTCCATAGCGACGAAAACTGTTGGTGATCTCATCTAGAAAAGGAGAAAAAAAAACAGAAGAATTCAGGACAAAAACAATGATTACAGACATCATAAAGGAAAGTGTATTACATCATCAGTCACAGCTATAGTTCCTATTGGAACCATGTCCGGGACACAGGGTGTGTTAGACTTTCCTGACCAACGTTCAGCATTTTTTTATTTCTGACCTCATTGTGTTGTGAATCTTCCAACAGGCCAGGAGCCACTACCAGACTTTTTCCAGTCTGGGTGTGTGTTTAATAATGGCCTCATTTCACAGTCTGTGTACTAGATTCCCAGAGCCCTGTAGTCTGTGGCACTCTTCACACTTTTTCAGTGAAAAGTATCACATCTGCTGTCAGACATGCACGGTCTGCTCACTGCCACCGAAGACATCACCAACGGCAAGGAGCCAACGCACACATGCAATCACAATAACAGCTGCCATGCTCACCATCACAGAAACAAAGCTACAACTAAAATGTTATCAACACTGAACATATCAGGCGTTCATTATTATCAACAAAAAACACAATGTGCCTTTAAAACAAACACAGTAGTCGGCACCGCTTTATAGAGGTTTTATGAAAGGTTTAAATTTAGTCAATTAATGGTTGATCAATTAATTCACTGTACAAGATCCAAAGCAAGAGTGTGTGCATCCCCCCTGCATTGGGCACAGGTGCAGGACACAATTGAAGATCAAGCAATCAATACAAATAGATGTCTGCACACCGCAGATCTCAAAGCCCTCTTATTAATTCATATATAATTCCAACATTTCGACCTTCAGAAAAAGAAGAGAGCTTTTTTTTGTCTAATGACATGCAGTGTGGACATCCATTTTTATTGATTATTAATTGGGTCATAAACACCTTAGAATCATAAATAAACAGTTGAACACAAATAAAAAGGGCAACAGTGCCATGTTATATATGATGAATACGAATATCTGATGAAGCTGACAGGTATAATGTTCACTGATAGAGAAGACAAAGTGAAATAAATAACCAGTAAAATCTGAGGTTTAACAGCACAGATAAATGCAGGCTCACTATTTGGCAAGCAACACATCACTGTTGTCTTTTTTACTCATCTGTTATAACTGCTTACCTTAAAATCCTTAAAATATTTATGACCTAATTAATGACCCTTAATAAAAAAAAAATCATTCATAAACCCTTTCAAAGTGTAAAGTGGTCAAGTCAATCAAATCCCAAAAACCTTCGAATGGAAAATCTTTTTGATTCTTCAAAAATCAAATGGAAAATCATTTTATAAGTACACTTTCTTTGTGTTTTTTAAAGTCATGGTTGGTTTGCCGTGTACCTTCATCGATGTCTGGAGGCAGTCCACCAACAAAGACCTTCCTGGAGTAGCGCTCCATTCTCTCACCGTTCTGACAGCGAGTGGGTGAGTTCAGCCCTGGGGTCAGGGACTGGTCACCATGAGGGTCATCAAGAAAACCATCCTCGAAAGGAAACAGTGACGAGCGACCTGGAGAGAGAGTGCGAAAGAGAGAACGAGAGAGAGTAAGAGAGAGCAAGAAAGAAAGAAAGAAAGAAAATTAGAGACAGACGGAGAAAAAAGAAAAATGACATAAGACAGAAAAATTTAAAAAAGGGAAGAGCACAAGAAGAAGATGAAAGAGGATGCAGTTAGAAAAAGGAAAGAAGAAAAAAAAAAACAGAATTTTGGTTATTAATTTAATCTAATTTAAAATTAATTCATGGAATCATTTGAAATAACAGCCAAGAAAGAACTTTGGCACAAAGAGCTACTGAGGTCTTTCCAAAAGCATCATTAGTGAGCTCTCAGATTTATTGGCCTCAAATATATCAAGAAACGAACATATATCCCCCCCTACACATATGCAAACACACCCCAACTACAGCTGGGTCAGATGCCAGTGTGCTGAATTAGTTTAGATGGTTAATTTCCTCCTTATTGGGGACTGCTGGCTTTCAGAGCAGAAATCTTCAATTGAAGAAGACTTCAGAGCTCTAAGCTAAGAAGAAGAATAGGGGTATTTCAGAAGGGCCAGTCTCTTGAGCTTTAGCACAAGCCAGAAAATCAGAAGAACACGGTTTGGCTCAATTTTGCACATCAAAAACTGTTCTGCATATCAAAGAAGAATTACACAGAGAGTTGGGAAATTGGGTTACGCCAGGAGTCCAGTATTAATGTGAAATGTGGGATAAATGAAAATCTTTACAAGCTTCTAGCAGCCATGTAATAAAATAAGACACATAAGACAGTAGACCAAAGCAATATAGCAGAGTATCAAACATGTTAAGGCTATCATTAAAATGATTAATGTAAAACCAAGACCCATAAAAAGGTGGCATGATGTACAACAAAATGAACATTTAGACAAGCTCAGTGCAGCTCAGAGCATTGCATCCTGTCCTAGTTTGTTTTGTAGGGGGGGCTGATTTAGCTTAGAAAACCATTTTAAAGGAAAGAAAATCAGGATTGACATCAAAAATTCATTAGTTAAATAGAACCCACTGTAGCAGCTTTCTCTCCACGTCTTTATGAGCAGGTGTCAAGAGGGGGAATGTGTTCAACAATGTTTCAGGAATGTTCTAAACTACCCCTGGTCCTGGAGTACCCATAATCTGCTAATTTTGGTGTTTTCCCTGCTCTAATACACCTGATTCAACTAATCAGCTCATTAATAAGACCTTCTGGTATTTCAAATGGGTGTAATAGTGCATAAAAAACACTTAAACATGCAGGACAAAGGTAGACCAGGATCAGGTTTGGGAACGTATGTTATAAATTACAAGGTCAAGAGACTCTTCCACTGCAGAAATTAGTCAATTACAGCAAAGCTTGTTCTTATGATCCACTGCAAACGTTTTAGGATGAAAACCATGGTCAAGTCAATGTGCTTTCATGATTAAACTTGGGATGACAGGCTTAAGAGATATGACTGGGCTCAACTTTAAGGTTCATCTTTGAGAAATTAAGACCCGATTTGGTCTTTTTGGTGTGCACATCAAATGAGGGTAGTGCGCCAATATTAGCCCATTTCATGTGCATAAGGACTAAGGCTGGCCCAAAAAGCAATATATAGGCTTTTTGGTATTTCTGAACATGTATTTGAATACTCATTCTCAAAATCACCCTTAAAAACAATATTATTTGATTTCATAATGAATCATAATTTTATGTTCATTTCTGCAGTTGCAAATATACCCAGCAGAAAGCAACAATATATTAGTAGTCAGGCTGAAGCCCAGCTGCCTGCGTGCTGTATGTTGCTACAGAAGCCGCGATTGTTGCCCTCTTGTACAAATATAGCTTTTACAAGTCACGTAGATGCAACTGACTAATGCTTCTTAATGGCTTTTGCTGAAGGAATGTACTTTTAATAGTTTAGACTACAAGTTTTGTGGTTATAAAAGAAAAAAAGCTACCTACGTAATACTCGAGTATTCAAACTATTCGGGCCAGCCCTAAAAAGGACAGATCACAATGCACTTTGTTAAACATGAAAAACACAATGACTCAGAAAATAAAGAGAGAGAATTTGGCAGCAATTTTCTTCTCTCAGAAAGGAAACCAAAAAACATTCAGGCCCTGTGTTAGGAAATGAATGGTTAAAGCCTCCTTTCCACCCACTTGATTATATGTATTGATGAAAATATAAACTATAATCCAGTAAGAAGAGACAAGGGCATGAATTAATAGGACTTCATCCAACCACAGCACAGATGAGGCAGACATTCGGTCATCATCATCCCCCCCACCCCCCCACCCAAAGCTCCACATCCACCCTCATACACAGACAGCTAGCAATTTAGCTTCAGCAAGCCCCTTCATTTCCGCAAGCACAAAACAGAGAGACGGCAACGTGTTACCTCTTCTGCGACCATAGTTCCTGGCTGTTCGGGAGCACACAGGGAGGGAAAGAGAGAGAGAGAGAGAGAGAGGGAGAAAGAGAGAGAGAAAGAGAAACAACAGGGGAAAGGGAGAGAGATAGAGCAGAGCAGAGGAGAAGATGGACGGACAGACAGACAGACAGAGACAGACAAAGAGAGAAAGGGAGAAAGACAGACGTGGGTTTGGTGGGCAAACAATGTGAACAGTCACTAAGGCAACAGTCTGAAAGCATAGGCCGAGCTGTGTGGACTGGGGTGGGTCAGAGGTCAGAAATCGCCAGCTTTGTCCAGTCATGTTCACTCTGTCCATCCTGAACATGGATAAATTATCAGACTTCCACAACACACATTGGAAAAGTACTGACCTAGGACCTGCATCATCTCCTAATGCAGAAGCCCAGTTCCAGCCTTGGGAATCCCTAAATACTCTAGAGCTTGTCCGACATGACCTGACTATTCATCTCAGGTGTGGTTGGGTTCGGACAAAATTTCTAAAATCTGCGTTGGGTTCAGAGATCATTTCTCAGGCACTCATCAGGTTCGAACAACATTTCTCAGATTTGAAGTTTTGGACACCATTCCTCAAATATCTCTTGGGTTCTGGCATAGTCTCTCAAATACTTGTATGTTTCAGAGGTCATTTCTCACATGTGTGTCTGGTTCAGAGATCATTTCTCTGATATTTGTCAGGTTTGGACATCATTTCTCAAAATATATTTTAGGTTTAGACATTTCTCAGATATTTGTCAGGTTCAGACCCCATTTCTTGAATATTTCTTGGGTTTGGTTCAGCTCCAAGTATCCCGTTTGGGTTTCTCACAGCCCATCTGTCACCTTAATAGACTCTGGCCTGCATTTACAGCTGCTTTAGTTTTCCCTCATCCTTTATTTGTCCTGCCTATTTTTATTACTTTAAAGCAATCCGGCACAATGGAGTCACTTGTGCAGTTGGCACCAAGGCACATGAGGCCACCAAAATGTGAAAATGAATGTGAGTGAAGCAAATGGCAAAGGCAAAGGGCAAATTGGTTCAGGAGAGTACGGTTTAGCGAAGCCAAAAGAACATTCGTCATACGTCTGGAAATCATTTGACATGGTGCGTGTTAAGAAACCAGAGGGGTTTGTACAGTGTAAAAGCTACAAAACCATCAGAAATGTTGGGAATTTTCTTCCATCTGTGGTGGGCACTGGTCAGGCCTGGACAGGAATTTGTGTGTTTACAGACGAGGTTGGATTCAAAAGTTGGTGATGTGGGTCAAGTTTGATCAGACGCATAATGTTCTTGGGTTCTGTTAAGGTTTGGATGAAAACCTCATTCCCAATCAATTATCATTGTTATACTCTTCTTATATTTGTATATTGTCTGCTCTGACACACCGGGCTTGGCTGAAGATGACCTCATGAGCCGAACAGGTGTTAATACAGCTGTTTTGAGCGTCATCCAATCTTTACATGAGCTGCAGCTGCTTTTGTTTGAGCCATTTTGAACAGCATTTGTTTTTCTATATGCACTTGAACAGTTACTCCACATCCAGCCCAAATTTAGACAATAAAGACAGATAACTTGTTGCATGTGTGCTGCTGTTATGAAGCTGATTGGCTCAAAATGAAATATAAATGACATGTGACCCACTTTCACCCTGTGGTTAGGCCTAAAGTGTTGCATTATGCACCTAGCACACATTACTGTGTGAGACAGACACGTCACCCCTCCTCATCACCTCTCACCTGGAGCACAGGAGTCATTAAGGTAGAGATCTGGAGAGCTCTACACAAACGTAGATCATTGCTGGTGGCTCTCTACCCACTAAAATGGGTAAGAGGTTCTACAGACACATTCCAAGAGTTCATTCACATTTCTGCAGTGGAAATGTTGCACTAATTCAGAGGAAACACTGGTGGTTGCCGTCTGGGCTGACCCAACACTTATGGTCTGGCACCCTCCCACTCCAACACTGAGGCCAAAGGTAGGCCTGCATAAGAGCAGATAAGGAGAGACTGCATACACATTTTGCATTTTGCATGTGTACAGAGGCTCAAAGCTAAAACCCCATGATTAGTAATCTACTGCTATTCCAGGAGCACAGGCGCTGCTGGTCCAGGAAATAGTAGTCTTGTCCAGTGTCTAGGATTCATTTAGTGCTTTCGTTCAAATCCATTACACCTCCACATTCTCCAGGCAGTTATGCTAAATGGCTGCTTCCCACATGCCTCACATTCTTGCCTTTTCCATCCTCCCTAGCCCAGTCCAACATGAGCATGAAGGTATTGTACATGGAGCCGCATTCACTTTGTTCTCACAGTCAGGTTTAGGTTTTGGATTCTGTTGAATTTTTTGGTAAAAATTTGCTTCCCATTTTCAAGGATTCTTATTTTCATGTTTTTACTATTACATTAAAATCTATTGTATAGGTACAGAAATAAGATTCTATCCTTTCTTTCCTTAAATTTTTAACTGATTCTTGGTGCTACATATGGCCTTTTAATCCTCCATAACACTGAAATTAGGTACACGTTTGTTGCTGTTACAAGTGAACGGCTAGACTTCTACTCTCTCTTCATCTGGCGAGTAAAAAGCACACAACGCTACCTGGTGTACCAAAGTAGAAAAGTTCAAGCCTTTACTGCTAATACTGCATTGAAGAATGGATTAAAGGATGGCATAACCATGTCAACACGACTGACATCATGCACTCAATTCCATGTAAAATTATTTTTTTTAATATCACAATTACAATTCGACTACGTGCAATTTTCAAATTTATTGAAGCTTACATTAACAACAGTGTTATGGTAAAATTTAACCTAATAATGTGGAGCCTGTAAACTGACAGTAGATGTGTTTGGCCAATCAGAAGCAACCAAATACCCATGTCATATATGCATGGCAATACAATCACAACTCACTGACAGTCTGGGATACAACATTCAGCATTTAACCCTCAAGCCAGAAAAAATTAATATGCTCATTTTCTTGGCCCAAAAACAGGCCTGGACCTTACATTTTTGTTCCAAAATGCATCACAGACCATTTACAAGAATGTTCTATTTTCATTATTTTTTCCCCTAACATTGTTGGGACTGGGTTTTACACTACAAGAAATATTAAAGCTGTACTACAATTTACACCATCTTTATTAGAGGAAAATATCATGTTTTTTTCATTATACATCAGCTGTTCTTGTCAAAAACTTGTCTTGTATAAGTGTTACAAATGAATATACAGTGTTTGGAATGAAACTATTCAATTATAGAAAATAATTACAATATTAATCGTAGTCACAATATCTGTCAGAAAAATAGCAATTAGATATTGTGCCCAAATCATTCAGCCCTGTTTGAAACCCTTTCCCCTTCATTTATTGCACTACCCCGTCCCCACGTCATCTCAATACAAGCCCATTCCTTCACTCTGGCCACCCAGCCCCAGCTTCAACAGTCAGCTGCAGCAGCGTCATCGCATGTGTCACATTATCCTGTAAGAGCCCAGCGGGGTGGGTGATAGGCCTGAATAAAGCTCATGCTGAGGCTTCTAGAACAGAGTTTCCAATGAGCTAAAGCCTCACACTGGGAATCTCTCTATAAACCCCCTTCAACACAAGCCTGTTAGAGACCAGTGTAGAGAGGCTCCAATTGTGTGACATTCTCACTGCTGGAGGACAAGACCGACTCCAGGCTGCAGCATCCCACATTTGGGGCTATTCACTAAAAGGGTCTCTGTGTGCCTTGCTGCTAAGAGCAGACATGGAGACGTCTGACTGGAAGAGGTCAGGGGGTCTAGAGTGCCTAGCAACAAGAGGGAGACGGGAGAGAGACACAGCAGACATGTGTCTTGTGAAACCATATTAGCCAACCTCACTGAGGGACGGGGGAATTCGGTCCAAAGTTGAAAAGTTTCATAGGGTGGCATTTGCTTTGGGCCAAACGGTAGAAGGTTAAGTTAACCTGCTGGAAGTTTCTGTCTCTCTGTGTGAGAATAATTGCAGTTACAATTTAAGAGGCATAGCAATTAGTAGAAAATGTAGCCCTGAGCTTGATCTCGGCACAGATTTAATAACAGTGATGTCGCAGCTACAGTATAACTGGAGAAAGTTATAGAGAACTTGAGAGTTCTTGAAATGATACTGAGGGTATAACCTTTTTCTTTCCAGAATAAAATAGCATATTTCAGTGTATGACAACTTGATCAGCCACTAAGATTATAACTAATAGATACATTAGAAGTGTTTAAAAGAAATTAACACAGTGTTATTCTTTTAACATGGCAATAAAAAAAAAGTTTTTTTAAGCTAGCTTTTTGAGAATGTGCAGAAAATCAAGGCTTTTCAATTTGACATTTTGAACCTAGTCAAAAAATATCACGGTTTCATGGCATTAAGTGACCATTTAAAAACACAACGCAGACAGGTGGAAACTAAAGGAAAAACTACAAAATACTAACATCTTTAAAAATACAACAGCTTTAAAAATAACATTTTTATACTTTTTATCATTTTAGATTTAATCCCCTACAAACTGTCCCCAACAAATTAAATTGTTGCTGTATATCACAGCCTCAATTATTTCAGGTTTTTTCTGACATTGTGTTATCGACTGTGTTGTATATATAAATTATTTTCAAATCTAGATTAATAGGGGTTTGCTGTGTTCTATGGTGTGCCTGGAAGCTGCTGGGTCTGATAATGATGTTCACGTAGAAAAATGTGTGTGGAGGACTGTGAAGATGGCTTCTCTGGTCTGTTACATGATTAGGAGGTTGCAATTTAAAACAGGCTGAGAACCACTGGTTCAAGGAATGTGCAGGAAAATTTAAGTGTAGAGCCTATGTATGAATTTTCCTGTACTTTACCGGAAACTCTGTACTTAAGACCTGGAAATTCCAGGTATTGGAATCTTGGCGAGCAAGGGGGATGTTAGGCCTGCATTTTTGTTAAATTATGTCAATTTGTGTTCTTATGGTATGCATCAAAAAGGGAGAAAAAAAGGAGAGAGATGTGACAGGCAGAGGGTGACAGACATGAGGTGAGAATATAGCTATTTTGTAGGCAGTGGTGTGAGACGAGAAGCAAGGCAAGAAAGCTTACAATCACACTGCAAGTCTTTTTCAGTAATAGTGCTCTTTAGACTCGTTACACTTCTATTATGCAGTGTTCTCATACATTAAGAGCTCCACAATTTTTTAATAAATGTGATATTTAGATGAAGTAAAAAATCATGAGCTTTTATGCAGCTCGGAGTAGTAGTTTTTAGTAATTTACCAACCAACCAGTTTAGACCAATTAGTAGAACTATTGCATATTTAGGTTGGAATTCTTGTGGTGATACTGCATTGTAATATTGTTGCATATTTCCAAAAGCAGGTTCATAGACCCCAAAGAAGGCCCTGTTCAACCTCTGCAATTTTAACCCAATGTTACACCCCTGGTGTAGATGTGATAAACACATTTTATTAAGTATTTTAATAACAATCAGTTAAAAAAAGGTCATAACTAACTGTGAAACCTGTGGCACTGTAGCAAACCTAGCCTAATTATTATTTCATTATGTCTAATTTCGCCAATGCGTATCTGCACATTAGATCACAGCCTTTACAAATTCTATGGAAATGTAATCTGATGGCCCACAGACCATGTGGCAATACTCCAGGTGAAAGCTTTAGTGCGAGTAGTTCTGAAGGCGTGGTGATGGGAGGAAAAGAGTCACCGGCTCAGCTCAGCCGTTTCCTTCATTCCCCTACTGTTCCCACTAAACACCAGCCCCAAACCAAACTGCTCCAGAGCCAGGCCACAAAAATCTCTGTCATCAAAGCTGTGGCTTCCACTCCTGAGAGAAGCCTCCTGGAGCACTCAGTCAACCTGTTCCAAGACAACACCGACGACTGCAGCTCGACAGAAAACTACTGCATACAGCAGGGATACACTACCCTTCAACAGCCTAGTTACTAGGGCATATAGAATAACAAAAAAAGTAAAAATTCTTTGTTATTTTTATTCAGTAACTACACATAAATTTAAACACTATGAACTACACACCAAAGGGTATGTTAAATATTTAGATTTCAGGAATTTTGAAAACAACAAGGTATTAAGTGACAATGTATATTTCTATTTATGATTATGGTTTTGTCAGCTTACCTGCCTTTGATCAACACTTTGGAAAACAAGGCATTTTGGATATTAATTTTATTAACTTAGAGTGGAATTCCAGTGACTGTTAAAAATTTCTTTTTTTTAATTTTCGAGAAGTAAAGTCATTGAGAATGGTTTGGTGTGAAATTATAGAATAACTATATATATATATATATAGAATAACTATATAATTATAAATCCAAAAAAAATGGTTTCCATGGGGACCATATTGCCTTACAATGCCCTGCATGTGTCCCTCCTCCATGAATGCATTAAAAAAATTTCAAAACTATTGTACAACGATGTCTCAGGCAGCAGGCAGCGTATTAGTGTAATAATTTTCTGTGAGGAATTGTTAAGATTTTTACATTTTATTAAGATGTATTTTATTTTACCAAGATGTTATTAAGATTCTTAATGCTTCACATCGTTCTCACATCTATACTTTAGAATCATCTACAGTTTTCATTCTGGACACAACCACAATTTTTTTTTAACTTCTTAGTGTCCTACAAATCATTTGAAACCTGAGAAGTTATACAGATTTAACAAATCAGATTAATTTTATACATTTATCTGCAACTAAATTGGTTTTATTTTGGTTTTACAGAGAACACTGATTCCAAACCATTGAACAGCGGTGAACTTTAAAAACCTGATAATAAAGAGTGCAGAGGGCACACAGGCTTGTTGATCAAAACTCACTCTCTTCCTGGAACACACCCCCACCCCCCCTCACCCCATGAGCTTTCCTCCCTGTTTGTCCCCCATGGCCATACGGCACCTGTTGAAGGGGACAGCGTGAGTATATAGTCTTTCAGGTCTGTTATTTTTAGGTGATCGCTGCTCATGTGTGGAGACTACAGTGCTCCATGCAGCTTGCCAGCACTACAACCCCCAATATACCCAGAAACACTCAGCCAGTGTGCAGCACTTGAACTATGACAAACACTGCGAGACTGGCCACAATCAGGAGGTCAAGTCATTGGCCTATGTCAGTTTAAAGCAACAGGCCAGAGGAAACCAGACTTACAACCAGTTGTTCTAAAGAATGAGCACATGAAGCTGGATCGAAAATTGGTGGAACATTAGCAAACACTGCAAAATGCTCAAAAGACAATTCAAACTTTTCTAAGTTAGAGGTAGGCTAGCTGAAACAAAGCATGCCATAGACACAGAGGTCACTGAGAAGAAGTATAACAGAACAATAATCATATTCATAGTCAGGCAGTGCATTAAGACTAGCATTATATTATTAGCAAGTTCATATTTTACTACAAGCATGTATGCTTCTGTGCGCATTCAGTCTGAATGGAATGGAAAAAACACTTACTCAGTGGCATTATGTGTTCTGCTGCTGGGTGGTGAAAGTTCAGACCCATGCGTCCTGGAGAAACACACAAGAAAAAAAAATACATGAGGATTAATACTGAGATAAGACAAAGCAAGACACACACCGACCATTTCTGCATCTCTAACCACCACTTACAGTTCTATCTATGTGCTATATGAAGCCACAAATTTGGTTACTATAGCATATTCCACTGATTTCAAGATGAGCAAACCACCCAAATGACCATTATACGTAGAGGTGGGCGATATGGCAAAAACAAAATATTACAATATCAGAACAGAAAAAAGCCCCAGTAGTGCTAGATTTAAGAAAAAAAAACTGTCTAAAGCTGTGCTGTAAAATCCAATTAAACAGGACCATTATGGGAACTGTGGGCCAACAGCATTATCTAATATTTTTCTGCCAATATATCATATTAAACTAGTGATTCACAATAATACTGGAATCTTATTGGTATCAGCAGACATTTGCTTTTAAATAAATAAATAAATTGTCTGAATCAGACAGAACTTTGAACCGATATTTGATGTATTTATTGTGCTCTGGAAGAGCGGAACATTTAGGTGAAGCTGGGCTTCTGCACTAAAATGTCTGCATATTATTTATTTTACTGCATGTAACCCTTCAGAAATAACTGTAATATTTCTTCATAATCTTAATTCCGGTACATTTCATCCCAATTACTACATATTTTTAGCACAGTAGCCCAACATTACCTAAATGTTCTGTGCTTCTGGAGTACAATAAACACGTAATCAAATATGAGTCAAATCTAAGTATCTGTCGATTTCAAAATGATTCGGATACCCCGTGCATCCATACTGATTATGCTCACTTTGGAAAGAAACATATAGTTGTAAGTAAGTACTGACGATATCCACGATATGCTCAGAAAAGAAAACTGTGACATAATGTATCACGATACAATAGTATCTCATCGACGTGACGCTATGAGAGAGAAGGCGGCGTAGAGTCTAGCTCCGCGGTGCTTTGTGATAATTATCCTTTTATTTCCTTTAGAACAGTCTAATTTCATATGTTCGCTTTATTTGTGTAACACTGAACGGGTATGATGTCGAAACAACTGAAATCCTCTGCTTGTGGGGATATAAAGAGACATTTGAGGTCGCATGGCCCTGACTCCGGGACTGAACAAGATGGCGCTGGTCCAGCGTATACAAGTAATGAGCCTCAAGATCTGGGCTTGGATATCGCTAACATCTACGCAACGCTGAAGAAAATCGCGGACGACATGGCTGGCCTCGAAGAAATACGACGTACTACGGCTTCGGTAGAGACAAAGCTGTCGTCCCTTATCTCAAGAATTACTGAAGCGGAGAAACGGATTGAATTTCTAGAAGCGGCGGAGGAGTCAAAGGTAATCCACTGGCCACAAAAACAGAGGTAGACCAACTGAGGGACAAGTTGGTGGACCTGGAGAATCGCAACCAGTGAAACAACCTTCGTTTCGTTGGTATTCCCAAGGGCAAGGAAGGTCATGACATGGTCAAGTTTATGCTTGAGCTGATCTCTGAGCTTTTGGACACTGTCAATAGGCAGCTGGAGATACAACGGGCACATAGGGCTGGCGGTCCTCGGCCCGATATCGGGGGAAAGGCCCAGACCAATACTAGTGAAATGTCTGAGATGGGGAGATCGAGACTTTGTGCTGCGAGCCGCTAGACAAAAGGGCAAATTGTGTTGGGCCAATAATCACATCATGATATTCCCGGACTTCTCCAGAGTCACGCAATTGAAACGGTAGCAATTCAGAGTGTGCAAGAAGATGCTTCATGCGCGGAAAGTGGGCTTCGCAATGCTCTACCCAGCAAATTTAAGAATAGACACTAAAGAGGGATACAAAATATTCGATAGCCCACGAAAGGCTAAGACCTTCATTGAATCTATGGAGTAGTAGGTCCACGGGACAGCGACGGAGGCATAGGAGGCAAGTGGCTTTGCTCTTCGGACTGAATAGAGGTGGGAAAGAACGAAAGTTCGCCGTTTGGGTATTATGGTTGGTAAAAGGATTAATAAATAGATATACCCCATATTGTTATTCTTTTAGTTGAAATTGCTTTTAATTCCTCTAAGTTATATTTCCCCCTCTACGGATGTTATATTCAGTTCAGATTTTGTGATAATTTCAAGCATTATAAGACACGATTATCAGATCAGACTAATTTTATAGCATCACCGTTGCTGAGAAGCACTGCCTGTCTCAAGAGGATGTGTCATGGACTCTTCACATTAAGGGTGGGACTCGGAGAGCAGTGTTCGAGTTCAAGCGCTACTGCATTTTGTGTCGTGTTAACGGGGGAGCTCTTTGTGTCGGTGCTAAAGCATCTTATAGTTTGTCTGGCTATGGTCTGGTTTGCCGCTATTTTCTTAGACTGAGTACAGGGTGTCTGTGCACTTAGGTAAAATATGTATCACCATGTGGAATGTTAACGGGCTGGGTCCACCTGTGAAGCGGAAGAAACCTATAAGTTCTCTAGGACGTGAAAAATACAACGTAGTATTTCTGCAGGAGACACATTTATCCCCAGAAGAATCAGAAAAACTACGGTTGGGTTGGACATGTGTTCCACAGCGTGGGATCTAGCAAGAGTAGGGGAGTGATGACATTAATAAACAAGCAGTTACAATTTAAATTCTGTAAACAGATTAAAGATGATAGAGGAAGAATTCTTATTGTTGTAGCAGAGATAAAGGGGCAAAATATGGCTTTGGTTAATATTTATGCTCCTAATCAGGATGATCCAGCCTTTTTTGCAGATCTCGAGGGAAAGATACATGCAGCAGGGGTACAGAATATTATCCTTGGGGGAGACTTCAATTTAAGGATTGTGATCTCCTAAAGCCGGGTTAACTGTCCAGAGGATGTGCGAAACTCTAGGGTTAACTGATATTTGGTGAATCATGAATCCATCTGGGTGTGACTTCTTTTGTCTCATCAGTCCATAAAATATATTTTCGGCTAGATTTTTTTCTTAATTTCAAAATCATTGGTTGCCTTAGCATCCAGGTGCTCTATTGGTAGTATCTTAGTCTCCAATCATGCTTGGGTGAGATTGGAATTAATACCCCAGAATGCCAGATGTCAAACATATAGATGGAGATTAAACTTGTCGCTTCTTCAAAATTCAGAGTTTCGAGAGGCTTTAAGAACACAAATTAATTCTTATCTTGAGATTAATTTGGCTTCATCGCCTTCTACGGGGGTAGTTTGGGAGGCTCTTAAGGCAGTTCTGAGGGGATATATTATTCAGTATGCCTCACATATTAAAACGCTAAAGATGGCAAAAATGTTACACTTGGAAAGCAAAATTAAAAAGCTTGAAACAGAGTTGAAACATCAGGTTTCACATAATAGCTTGAGGGAGCTAACTCATTTAAAATATCAGTATAATAGTTTATTATCCCAGCAAGTAGAATTCTCTCTTTTCAGGGCAAAGCAGACATACTTTGAGTCAGAGGATAAGGCAGGGAGATCGCTCGCTAGATATATAAAACAGAAAGAACTATCATGCATTATTCCTGCCATTAGGTCTCCAGGAGACACCATTTTAACTGCAACAACAGATATCAATATGGTTTTTAAAGATTTTTATGTTGATCTTTATCAAATCAACTTCTGTCTCCACGGAGGAGGAGGTATCTAGTTTTCTAGAGCCACTCAGACTGCCCAGACTGACAGAGAAGCAAAAACAGGGCCTGGATTCACCCATAACAGTAGAAGAGATTATTGAAATTATTAGGGCCTTGCCTTCTGCTAAGGCTCCGGGACCAGACGGTTTTACTGGAGAATTTTTTTTAAAACCTATGCTTTAGAACTAGCCCCACTCTTGCTTGACATGTATACGCAGGCTTTTGAAAAGGGTGAACTGCCCCCTGCTCTGTCACAAGCACTGATTACCCTTGTTCTTAAGAAAGATAAGGACCCCTGTGAATGCAAAAGTTATCGTCCAATTTCTTTAATTTCATTAGATGTAAAAATTTTGTCAAAAATTCTTGCAGTCCGTTTGTGCAGAGTGATTACTTCTTTAGTACATATCGATCAGGTGGGTTTTATTCATGGCCGGTCCCCCGCTGATCCTGTTTTATCAACATTATGTAGGCAGTAGCTGATTCCCATTCTACAGTTGCTGCTATTTCACTTGATGCCAAAAAGGCATTTGATATGGTGGAATGGAACTATCTATTTAAAATACCTGAGGTGTATGGATTTGGGAGTGTCTTTATAAGGTGGATTAAGCTATTATATCACCGACCTGAAGCAGCTGTGCAGACTAATGGACTAATCTCTAAGTATTTTTCTCTTGGTAGAGGAACAAGACAAGGGTCACCGTTACCTCCCCTCTCGTTTTGTTTGGCGTTGGAGCCACTGGCCGCGGCTATAAGAATGGATGAGGATTTCCCAGGAGTCTCTGTCGGGGGGTCAATACATAAATTGATGTTATATGCTGATGATATTCTTTTGTTTGTATCAGACCCAGGTAGATCAGTCCCTAGTTTGCTTAGAACCATCAGTTCATTTTCTAAGTTCTCAGCATATAGGGTCAATTGGACTTAATCAGAGGCTCTTCTTCTGACTGCCTATTGCCCAAAGTCTGCATTTCAACCAGGGCCTTTCCAATGGCCCCAGCAAGGTGTTCGATATCTTGGCATTCTGTTTCCCCGGCAGTTAAAGGATCTAGTGAGAGTAAATTTTGACCCATTAATGCAAAAGATCTCCTGTGATATTGACAGGTGGTCTTCTTTGTATTTGTCTATGATGGGCAAAGTGAATGTTCTGAAAATGAACTGCATTCCTAAAATTAATTATTTACTGCAATCAATCCCAATGGAAATCCCTTTGATATACTTTAAGCAATTTGATAAGATATCTAGTTCTTTCATTCGGAATGGGAAGCGCCCTCGCCTATGCTTGGGCAAATTACAGATGCCTGTTGATTGAGGAGGTTTAGGCTTACCGAAATTATTACTGTATTATTATGTGTTTACCCTACGACCCCTGGCACATTGGTCAC